TATATATATATATATATATATATATATATATATATATATAACATTACAGATACAATTGCACAGTTGATAACTTACCAGTCTTCTTCAGTGGCAAAATGAGCCACTGGGTTGTCAGATGTGCTCTCTAAGCCTGAAGTCCTGAAAATCAATCAGCTTAAATAACGCAATGTGCAGTCAATAATAGAATTAGTACAGTTCTTTTGTAACTTGTACATGTAGGTTGGACATTTCAAACTTGTTATTATTAAAAAAGAGATATTAAGGACATTTAATTTAAACTTTTTCTAGACTAACATTGCAATTCGTGAAATACTTTCCTCGATGTCTTTCATATCCATCAAAAGCTAGTATAAAGCTGCAAATTACAGTGGTATTCTTTTTTATAAAGTTTAACACCATTATTAATTTACCTCCCATTGTTGTGCAGGCAATACTCAGCAAATCCCCATGTATCATGCGTTTTAAACTTCTCCACATGATCTTCCAAACTGAATGGCTTTCCACTTCTAAATATATAATGTAATATATAATATACAAACAAGTAAAAAGGACAATGGCTAAAATTCAAATCACTGACAAGTAATTACTAGTAGAAAATGGAATACCATTTAACAATGAATATACATGTAGTTCAATTTATAAGAATAACATAATAAATTCTTCCCAATATTGTGTCACCGAAAATAACAAACTATATGGTTCTCTACACTTACTCATCTTTGTAGACAAAAATAAATCCTGATTTAGCACCACATGGACCCTTCTCAACCTATAAAGTAAAATGCATATTATTTGATCATTAATTATTCTTTTGAAAAACTCTTTCTAGACATACGGTGTGATACCTCACATACTATGCCATACTAACTAGGCCAAATTGTTAAAATATGTTATTCCCCAAAAGAAAATGTGCTTGTAGAAAGACTTACCTGGGCTTACTCTAAAGATATTTTTTCTAAATGGTTGGATAATTTTTGTCAAATCAGAAATTTTTAACTCAATATATGATAAATTTGGGGAAAAAACAATGAATCATTTAAATGTACTTTCATCAAAATAAGATTTAAATTCATGATGCCAGCATGAGCCATGCAGGCCCATAGCCAAGGGGGTTCAGGGGGTTCAAAAGACCCCCCACTCCTTTTTGCCAGACAAAGGTCCCCTCTGGGTAAAGTTTATTTAGGTACATGAAGATTTCATAGTAAAAAGTCCAGTTTTTCAGAAGAGAACCCCCTTTTTGAAATTGCTGGCCTGCCCTGAAACTAAACAAAATGAAAAACACTCACTTTGATCTTAATCTTGGTAACTTGTACAAAGTCAGAAGCCTTGAAGATCATGTTAACAAGTGTCTTCCCTTCAGCAGATTGGTAAACTAGAAGGTTGAAAAGAGAATCATGCTGTGACATGATCAAATACAAGCCAGAAGTCAAATACACACATGTACATGTACATTGTACATGCTTGCACCAGTAGTTCACAGAACATGTATTTTACCAACAATTTACAATCATTTACAATCATGTGCTCAGGAATAATCCGATTCCTAAATACCCCTTTGATCTTTGCCAAAAGGCTGTTAGAACTGAAAACTGAACCTTCCTTAACAGATGAAAAAAATAAGAGGCTAAAGTGCCCAGCCTTAAAAGCCAGCTGGAAGACGCAGTTCTGAACCTTAAGAACCGGTTGAAGCCCTAGTCCCAAAACAGGTATGGCCCAGTTTCAGTTGCTGTAGTCTAAGTTAAGTAAAAAAACTTTCTATCGAGATAATAAGCAAGCTACAGTTCCCGACCTTTAGAGCCAGGGGTGGCCCAGTTTACTGAGAGAACATTCTCTGGTCCCATAGCCTCATCCTTCTGTCCTCCATCACAGCCTGCTAGAGTCAGCTGCAGTGGACCACCTAAATCACAACACAGTTATCAATCACCGGTGAGGACTACTTTGTACCAATTTCCTTTACAGAAAACTTGTGTCGAATAACTAATATTCATACATTAATTGTAATTTTATTCAGCATTTTCATCTCCCAATTTCTTTTGTTTTATATACTGTAAAGTGTTCTTAAAAGTTTAAAAAACTCTTAGTAAATAATATATATAAATCATCATTATTACAGTTATATTATCATTATTATTGAGATATATCATCACTATACCCTCATTACCATAACACACTCATAATCAACATGGATCTGGCTTACCTTGCTTTTTCCAAAATGAATCTCTTACAGAAACCATAGATTTAAGCAGTGGCAATGCCTCTATTTCCATAATCTCGCTGTCTGGAGAAAAAGAAGAGAAAATACATATGTGAAGACATCTCAACCAGGTCTGTTTCCGAAATGACATCATTCAAAAATCAGTCTAAACAATAACTGTTTAGGATTCAAACCAACTAAGCTGTAAAATGCTCTTAGACAAATATTGCAAGCCAACTTATGATATTCCAAACTTAAAAGTCTTAATTAAGCCCCCAAACATTAAGACCACAAGCAAAACAGACCCCAGAACAAAAATGACAAGGGCATATTAGCTAAAAGGCATTAAACAATTATTTAAGTTTCAAATATTAAAATACCTTGTAGCAGCTTGAGTGTCTTCAGTATCCCCATGACATGACCTCTTGCCAGATTGAATGACAACAACACATACAATGCATCTGCACTCACATGGCTCTCTTTCTCTCTAAAAATGGTTTGAGTCAAGTGGTAAAAAAATTTTTAAAAATCATTACAAAATAATTTTTATCATTTTAACAAAAACACGGACATGAACCAAAACTTTCAAAATATTTTTCAAATTTGGCATATGCAAACATAAAGATTTACCATGTACTGCGTGCTTCATTAAAATTATTCACTCCTTACTATGTCTTAGAAGAATAATAGTGTACACTTTCATTAACACCTTCATCAATGATTATATATGTTTTTCTAATAGTCTTAGATGAATAATTGTATTAATCTTAAAAACAATCATTCATATTTTGCCACAATTGGTGGCAGGATGTTTGTGTAAACTAACATGGCAACCTCCCCCAGAAAGGTGTCCATCTGCTTCAGAACATGGCTGCTAAGGAAGGCTGGGCGCTCGGCACTGTTTGGTGACAATGCCAAGGGAGGCATATGACAAAGTGCATTTCTGGAAAGAAGCATGTTCTAATTGAAAACACATTTCACATAAACAAAGCTGCAGGGAATATAAGCAACATTACAATCCACTGTGAATCCCATCTGCTAATCTGATGGTAGCAGTTAATCTAATTTTGTGTGTGTGTGTGTGTGTGTGTGTGTGCGCGCATGTGAATGGGTGCATGTGCATGTGTGTGGACAGAATGTTGACATGGCTCTTCTAAGATACATTGCTTTCAGTCAAATATCTTAGGAATTTTCAGAAAAATTTGAACTCAATCAATGATTAATTTGACGGAATACAGTAAAATATTCCATGTTTTACTTAGCCAAATTATATAGGTTTCACATTTGGCTGACATTTATGATGGTAGCATTATACAAGCATTAGATACATCATCTAAGCAGAAACACTTTTGATGAAAAAGGCAAAGGCTGGCAGAATTATCCTACCTGGAATGTTCCAGCACCATATCTCTGAGCTGAGGTGATACTGGCAGACAGGCAGTTGTAGTTGAGGCCAGAACTTGGAGGTACCACACTGCTGACGCGTCTGACACACTCATCCCAGCATCTTTGACAATCCTGAGACATGGAAATGATATAAATAAGACTATTGTGTGCAAGAAATGTGGAAAACATTTGGTGTTTCCTAAGAAAATGTTATTGAGTAATACTAGTGAAATCTTGTATTAGTACCATTTTGAGAGAAAACAGGTATTCATAAAATAACAACTTTGATCAAAAGATCATTCAATATCTCACTTACTTGTATCCCAAAGTTTTCAGTGAGTGGATTCTTGTGTCACATCCATCACTATGGCAACGTCGGATGTTTAGCTGTATTACTAAATAAGCATCGCAAATTATAGATGACACAGATTACATAGATTACAAGATGCTAAAAAATTCTAATTCTGCTAATTGCCATTCATACACAATATTTCATTGTTTTTTTGCCAATTTTCTTACTTCAATAAAATCTGATTTGTCTAAAATATATGTCTAAAAGATAATTAATCCTAGAAATTGGTCAATAATAAAAAAATAAATTTTACAATCTATTAGAAGTCCTGATCTTTTAACACACCCACATCTCCACTTACTTGGATAATACTGCTTAGCATTCTTTAGCAGTGTCACATCTCCAGTAATATGACTGAAAGATAATTTGTGCTATATAATAAATGATATACAATGAATAGCATAGGACTGTAATATAGATAAATGCTTGTCAAATTCACTTACAAACAAACAAACAAACAAACAAACAAACAAGCTTCCTAATAAATAAATAATAAGTTGATAGAATTGAATTTAATAGCTAATTAAACCATTATAACCATTAGAAAAAAAACAGATAAAACCCATCTTCAAACATGTTCTGAAATGTAACTTTACAGACTGCAGATGCTTCAAACAAATCTAGATAACACAAACAAGTTCTTTTGCAGCCTAAGGAATATATTGTTGTTGTTGTTCTCATTGTTGTTCTTGTAGCAGCAGCAGTAACAGTGTCAGCTGCAGTGGTAGTAGCAGCAGTAGTATTATCAGCAATAGTACATGCAGATATGCCTACCTGGGTATTCTGACTTCTCTTATCTCTCTAAGACTGAGGGCACTTTTCCCCACAGACACTGTAATCAACTGTGGCATATAGCTTTGGTCACTTGAGGCCACTCCAACTGATAACTGCTTGATTACCACATTGTTCTTGATATGAAGCCTGTACCACAGAGAAAGAAAACAAAACAATTATATCAATTTTTAAAAACTTACTGTTGGAATAACCTCAGCCAAAGACCAAGACATCATATTTTTCTTAAAAAACACATTTAACTGACACGTTATTATTATTATTATTATTATTATTAGTATTATTAGTATTATTATTATTATGAATTACCTGATCCAATGAGCTCTAGCTGTCCCATCCGACTGCCAGTAGGAAGAAAAGTCACCATTTACCATTCTAAAACAACAAATACTTTCATCTTCAGTGCAGGAATTCTAAATGTGCATGCATAGTCTCAACTATTACTGTAACACACGATTATCATCTAACACAAAATCATCATATCATATATTGTGTACAGCAGTGATATATTTTCTATGATGATTATGAATTCTTTTTTTTTTTTTGGTAAGAAACTGAATTCTATTTTGACGCATTGACTGTGCATTTCTCCAGGAGATTGGGAAATTGTATTCAAACATCATGCAATTTGTGTTATATGTACAAATTTAATGTCACGTCTATACATCATGTATATATATATTACCTGTGCATGTCATTTTTACCAGTGGAGACATCCATGGCTGTGTAACATTTTGTGATGGACTTCAGCTCCTCCCCACTTGACAACATGCTTTCCTGGGATGATCTGTCATCTAGAGAAAAAAAATGGTTGAATTTTGGTTACTCTTGGGTCTGGTTTCAAAAAGGAACTTCGTCCACACAACTGGTCCTAAATTTGAGTACTGAAAATTTTGGTCTTCAAATCGGGATAAAAACTTCACAGTCCACTAAAATTACGTAACAAATGTTCTAAAACAGCAATAATTTCTATTTAAAAAACAACCATGATTCTTATTTTACATGGATTATGACTGATTAATCTTCAAAGTGGATTAAAAATTATACATTTTAATCCTTTAATTTTTTCTTTCTTTTGAAAGAGACAAGTATTAAAAAATAATGGATTTTCTGTTGGCTTAAGGTCAAACCTCTACTTACAGCTTTCTCCCAGCTTATGCAGGAGAGATTTCAACACAGACAGTCTCATAGAGCAGGTGTTATTGAACCCTTCTATGATGGGGAATGGCAGGCTTGAACTGGGGGCTCTATTACGCAACAGAAACTGAGAAGAAAAGGAACTATTTTTGATATTTTCAAAAAGGATTAACATCTATTTACCTAATATCAAATTTAACACTTAAGAATATATATGATGATATAATAAAAAGCATAATAAGTTACATTTAACCCACATTGCCCATATATTCAAAATCAATCTGTTATCTAATCAATTTTTAAGAAAAAAAATCTTCAAATCAGTGTCCAAAATTCATCCAAAACCATACAAATAGACAAATACTCACATTCAGAATTCTGGAGCCATGTTGCCCGATGCTGTGTGAACCTTCAGAATACACATCAATAAAACCTGAAAAACAGATTGACAAATTCTGCTTAAAATATATCTAGAAACAAAAATTACACAATATGATTATATTTTATTAATCTATGTAAAATCATTGAACTGAGGACATGGTGTCTAAATTCAAGTCTTTAATGGAGATTCTCACACAATGACATACACACACACACACACACACAAAAAAAAGTTTTACCTGGTGTTAGAGAACAAGCCTGCAGAGTTCGTATCACATAACTGAGCTCCCCATGCATGTTTGCTCCATTAGACTGTCTGAGTGCCTCCAACATGGTGGTCACATCTGCTGTGCCATCACCCTCTGTGTCAAACTGTTGGAATGCCTGCAAGTGATTGTTTGTAAAAATGTTAAACTGGCATATATACAGAGGCCAAAACAATATTTAAGGGCATAGCAGCTAAAGTTAAGTGTGAAGGAAATGCCATATCCACAGTGTGGATAAAAACCACTCTTATGTTGATTAGATCATGACAAAATGTGGTGACCTGAACACACTCCTCCCTGCCCACTGATCTGTTCATGAGGACATCACAAAACTGACTCAGGAGGACTGTCTCCTAAAATATAACAGCAACAGGATACACCTTATAGAGTATAACTCAATTAAGCAAAAGATAACAAAATTTATTTTACAACACTTATTTGATAATTTTAGCACTTGGTTAAAATGTATAAAATGGCAAAAATCATCTTAATATGAGCTGGGAAACTATAATCACTACTTCATACTAAATTAATCATTATTCTAACAAAAATGTGGAATATTTTACATTTTCTTTAGCCATATAAGAATACATTAAGCATTTGGTCAAAATTATCTATTCTAAAACTAAGATTAGTATTTAGTTCATACAGTATTAAATACTCAAGTCAAACTTATTGTCCACTCATTAATATAATTATCTTGCAATACTTAAAAATGCCCTGTGTTTTAGTGTCTGGAAAATAAGGTAAAAAACGCACCTCGTTTCTGGACATTCTGTCCTCCAACCAGTGCAGCAAAAGGCTGTGATGCTGCTGGATAACATTCTCTGGCATGTCATCTCTAAAAAATACAGACATTTAAAAAAATGGATATTAATTTCATATTCATGTTTCTTGAAAGTTATAGAGGAAGGCATGTGTTCTGCCAACTCTTTTGCAATTGTAATCATTCCCAATTAAGACCTTTAAATCTATAAAATCTCTCATATAAAATAAACATGATGTCAAAAGTTCCTAGTGAAATGTACAGGAAGACATGTGGCATTTTAAAAGACTGGCCTGTCATTAAAAACTAAATCATTACCTTAAATATAGAATCAAACATCTAATCCAAGCATAGGGACAGGTTGAGCAATGATCCGTGAGTAAGAATATTATGTTGAGAAAATTTTACCTATATTTGGCATCAATACTGTAATTTAGACAAAAAAAATTTTAAAAGAAAAAAAATCTTACTTGAGTTTAGAAGCTGCAGTTCTTAATGCTGAATGATTGAATAAAATACTGAGATCCACTGTTTGTCTTCCATCTTTTTCTGAAAAGGATTTCACCAAAAATGTCAGGTTTATATATGAAATATGCAAATATTTCGGGCTATCAGAGTTCTCAATGACATCAGTAATCCACCAAATCAGGCCGACCTGTTTTTATAAGACAATAAAAAGAACATGGGGAAAAACTTTATCACATTATCTTGTATTAGCATTTTAGCAAACCCGTGATCTATCACTTGAATCCTTTTAACCTTAATTTCATATCAATTTTTTTACTAATTTATGTTCAGTAATCCAAATCATCTTTTTTGGGCTGCCATTTAAATAAATTTTTTAAACAAGTGTTTACCTCCATCTGCTTCTGTGTCTGATGCTGGGTCTTCCTCCTGAAAATGTAATACAAAAAAAGAATTATTTCCAATTCCTGTTATATACATGCACAGTGATAGAATGCATCCTAAAGAAAGTGCAGTATAACCTTATCATGCCTTTATGCTTCTTTTCCTTACTGGCAATATGTGACCAAAACTGTGTATACTGGGTACTACTGTACATGTATCTGCAAACAATTGACAAGTAATGAAGCAAGCAGAAATTAGCAATATACTTAATTGGTGTCTGCTGCCCCCCCCCCCCCCCCCATTCCAGGCCTTACTGTGCTCCATTCTTACTGGTAGATGAAATAAGAGTAAGCAGAATATGTCGCACTCTCTGGTGCAAGCGTATGAAGCGGTCTGGAGGACCATTAACCCCCTTTTCTGAAACGCTTTATCACATTAATATATTCACTTCCAGAGGCAATATCCTATTTATTCAATTTCAATTCACAGTGTTATCCGAACTTCCAACCGATCATTACGTATAGATCGTCAGGTGATCAGTTTCAGTTTGCTGTGTACTAGTACGTACGTTCGTTCTGTAGTGCCAGTTTTCTTTTTCGCGGCTCATATTTTTCATAATTCCTTATTCCTTACCTTGTTTTCAACCCTGAATTCGTCTTCACTTTCGCTGTTACTTGCTGAGTTACCCATTCCACCAAAACTCTCCAATTAAGTCATCTGTCAGTATTATTACATGGCAGTCAAAACACCTTTATCAGGTGCATTTTTTCTCCTTTAAGGAAGCTGCCATGTTTGATCACGTGACGACGTCATATGATAATACGCGTACGTTGTACGCAAGTGAGATCAACGAGGTCCAAACACAATCAAACAAATTCTTAAAATGTTAGTCGGCAACTTTCAGGTGCCACATGGCTAATTTGATTAAAAGTTAAGATAAAACGAGGTCGGTTTTATCGTTTTATACCCATCCTCTGGAATTAATCCTCCAGAAATGCTGCTAAAACCATTAAAAAAATAATTAAAGATTGAACCAATAATGAAATTTAGGAGATTAAGAGTACGTGACAGGGCTAGCACGTCTAACAGAGATTTGATGTTACAAGGCACCTTTATGCATTGGATCTATTATCCATATGAAACACAGTGAGTTTTGTACCATCATTATCGTGACGTCATATTTCAACATGTCTGCGCCCATGGGACTAAAACAGGGGGTGGAAACGCGCTACTTATATGATTAAGACGAGCCTGGCCGTCAGTACCGGATATTGTTTTGTGACCTTGAGGAGCAATTAGGTTTGGTCGTTGCAGCACGCATGAACAGTGGTTGAACTACCACACCTGGGTCTTTTGTTTTTGACTACTGTTCACTCGTCATCGAGGCGCTTGTTCAAGACTACAGGCTGATATCTACTAGTACTACCAGTGGCTTCATTAGTAACGTTCCCACAATACTTAGTTTTCTGTCTGTGCGTACATACCCTGAAAAAAGCCAGCCTCGCTGACGAGAACAATGGACGTTTCTCACCCCTCTCTAGGATTACCCCTGGACTAAAACGAATTGCTGTTTAGATATGGTTCTTGTGTGGTTTAGTTGTAGTAATAAGTGGAATTGAATAGAATTATATGTATATAGATACGACAAGCATCGTAATACAACTAGTTAAAATATGACTGGCTTCCTTAAGGGTCTAGTTGCTGTGACTGTTGGGTCGGGAACGGTTTTGTTGTACCGACAGTACGGAATAAAGAGCGTCAAATGTGAAGAAAACGACCAGAGAGAAAACAATATAGCAGACACAAGGACGAGAAAGCCTAGAAAGCTCAATGTCCGGACTCTTGAATCTGCTATATCCCAAGCAGAACAGATTTTAAATGGGTTAAAGGTGGAAATCTCTCTCTCTCTCTCTCTCTCTCTCTCTCTCTCTCTCTCTCTCGAACACACAACATACACATGTATTTACAAACACATTCACAAACATTTGCACCCACATACAAGAGACACACACGTGCATTAAAACAATTTTATTATGCATATTTATGATATTATTAATATATTGTATATCTCATTTTAGGCTGAAGTCGGAAGTCCTGGGCTATCTGTTTCAGTAAGCATTGATGGAACTCCTGTGTGGAAGAAGGGTAATATGTACTTAACATTTGCCATGCCAGACAGAATAATTGTTTCATTTGAAATGAGACATGATTCATTTCAAACATATATATACTCATCAGTTTGATGAAGGCCAACGTCCAAGCTGGCCATTAGCTAAAATTAAAACATATTTCAGCTTGTGTTTCATTATTTTTGTAAATGATCCAACTTCCAAGCTAATGAACATTTTTGCTCATTATATAGGGTATGGTTTTTCTGACATTGAGAACCAAGTTCCCTGTAAAGCAGATACAGTCATGCGTATAGCCAGTATCAGCAAACCTTTGGCCATGCTGGCAGCTGCAAGGCTTATGGAAGAGGGCAAGTTAGATCTGGACAAACCTGTTCAAGAATATGTGCAGGACTTTCCTGAGAAGGAATGGAAGGGTGAAAAGGTTTGTTATTAATAACAGGAGAAGAGTTAAAAGGGTACTCAGATGAGGCAAATCTGCTAGTTTGATTTTTTACCATGCTGGAAGAGATACCCGCCAAATTATTGAAATTTTTTGAATTTGATGATGAATTAATTCACTGATGTTAATTTTAATCAAATATGTTTTCACAGAATAGTTGAATAGACAAAATAACTGAAAGTAAGGTTTATAGAGGGTATTGACTTTGTTAAGTCATATTTCAGGAACATTTTATGAAAAAAAATGAACTTTGTTTTTATCATTTTTAATTTTTTTCAGTGGAAATTAAAATTGATATTATAATTATAATGAATCAAATTTTTAAATTTTTCTTCCTTGCATATTGCATATGATATCAATTCTTTCTTTTTTTTGTACCATTTTGCTTTAAAATTGTTGTTTCTTCCTTCAGGTCACACTAACCACTAGGATGTTAGTTTCTCATTTAGGTGGAATACGCCATTATGAAAAGAAGGTTAGTCTTATCCTGCTTTTATACAAATTAGTTATGTTAACTGTTTAGATTTGTGTCTCAAAATATGTGTATATGTTCACTTGCACTCAAAAGAAGTGAAAAAACTTCCAGAAGTCCAGCACACATGAAAGTTAATTACCCTTAGTTGCTCGGGAGGCTTGTCGATCACTTAATCTTACTGCTTTCAGGAAAGTCCCCACAGAGTTGGATTGATCTACATAGAACAATAGTATCTGAATCTTTGGCAATGCACCCTTAGTCTGTTGATGGTTTGCTGCAAATAGGATCAGTGCATTAAAAAAAATTGTTGGCCGAAGATGAATTTTAAATATATGATGATTTTTCAGGGCAAAAATGGTAACAAGGATGAATTTCAGTTTGATGAGTACTATATAAAAGAAAAGTATGATGATGTCTGCAAGACCTTAGACTTATTCAAGCATGACCCACTTTTAAAGAAACCAGGTACACTAGTAGGACTGCATATCATATTATATGAATTAGTAGTGAAATGAAATATTTTAATATTGTGGTCAAAGAATAACTTTGGTGGAGAAGGTATTAGTGTCATTATTTTCGAATGACTTGTAATTTTCTATCATGATGTTATTTTATTTAATGAATAGTGTTGTATTGACTGTCACTAAATATTATTTAACTTTTTAAAGAAATATATAGAATTAATTTTTTTCATGCAGGTGAAGAATTTCTGTATACAACCCATGGGTATGGTCTGCTAAGTGCTGTCATCCAAAAAGCAGCAGGAAAAAAATTTGAGCTCCAGATGAAGCAAATTTTTAAGGATTTGGATTTAGTCAATACATATCTAGATGAAAATGAACCTCTCATATACAACAGGGCAAGGTGAGAGTGTGTAATATTTTACGTGCAGTCATATCTGCATTAAATTATCTTTTGTAGACTAAAAAAGGAATTTATCCACACATACCAGAAGATTTTCATAAATGGAATTTAAAATAACAAAAGGGATGTGTCAGTAGCTGTTGAGAATGATATGGATAAATTTCCATTAACTTGTTTTTAAATGATACATTTGAGCATAAAATATCTGACACACTGATTTTAATAATTTTCTCCGTTCTGTACTAGGACAAAAGAAAATCCTCTGGGAAGATTCTCTTTATGACGTGCTTGTTTTTATTATTTATTTATTTAGGTATTATGTGAAGAATAATAAAGGTAGACTGGTGAATGCACCTTATGTTGACAACTCGTGGAAGTGGGCAGGGGGAGGATTTGTGTCCACAGTGGAGGACCTAGTAAAATTTGGCAATGCCATGTTGTATGCATATCAGTATCAAGGCAGTGGGAGGGTTGAAACTGAAGGTAGAGGAAATACAGCTGCTTCAATTCCTCATAGTCAAAACCCGCCTGGCTACATCAAACCAGACACTATACTAACCCTATGGACACCTGTGCCAAAGACAAAGTGCAGCTGGGATGCTGATGGTTATTATGGAATGGGCTGGGCTGTGGTGCCTTACATGCAGAAACACGGTGGCTGCCGTGAGCAGAGGTTTTATGTCAGTCACACAGGGGGCGCTGTTGGTGCCAGCAGTGCACTGGTTGTTCTGCCAAGAAGATGTGTAGATCTCAGTCAAAATCTGCCACAGGGAGTAACAGTGGCTATCTTAGCAAACCTACAGTCTGTGGGAATGGGGAAAACTGCTTTAAAAATAGCAAAATTGTTTGATGAAGTTGATTTGAGTTGATTTTAGCCACAAGAATAGTTTTAACTATTAAATTTTCAGCATCAGTTACACCACCTGACTATTTTCTGCATCCAGACAATTTTATATTTATTGGACAGTATTAGTGGCAATGGTTTTATTATTATACAATCATCAAAGTAGGTCCATTTTATTTTACAACATGCTTCATATTTGTTCTTTTAATCATTAACGGATAGGATATAGGTTTTGACACAGAATAAAGAGCTGTTGCAATTTTACTCAGGTTTTCAAGAATGTTCAGGTATTCAGCTATCAGTGTATTATTAGCCCTTTCAAATCAAAAAGAGCTACTTAAAATGTCTTTGCTTTTTAAATGACTGACATTATTGTTTTAATTTTTACTACAGGTCATTTTGAGGAGTTTTGAAGTTCCCATACTCAAAACGCATGTTACATGACTTTGAGCTGTAGAAGGCATAATTCCATCATCTGTCTCTTGAAATACCTGTAAGCTTTTTCTAACAACTTGAGGATTAAATCTAAACCTGCTGAGAATTTTTTAGAGTGGAATGTTGTCAGATAGATATTTTAATGGATTTCTTTAAACAAATTGTTAGAATTCGTTTCTCGTTGCTTTTCTCAGAACTGCACCAAGTTTTCTTTTTTTTCTGTTTTCATCATATGAGAAACGAATGGGAATTTGCCGTAGACGCTACCAAAGTTCAGTACTCTTTCATAATCGTTAACATTCGTCACCGAACGCTGATTGAACAATAGAAGCCGACACTCGTCAAAGCCGTATATTTTGCTATTTTCTAATTTTCAAAACCATTGAATCAGAATTAGCTAATTTCAAATGTACGAAGGACAAAATAAATGTATTTTAGTCATTTATTTTCTGGTTAATGCTTGCAGGCTCTGATAAAAAATGTCATACATGTTATGATTGCTGCAGACGATCGTCTGTTCATATTTGAATAGGATAAGGCTCTTTCATGGGTAACTTTTACACGATGTCAGCAATTGCTTTTAACGCCTGCGACCAATCTGAAAAATGGAAAACAAACCTTTGCAATTAATGATGACGAAAAGAACAGAACATCACTTTCGGTTACAATAACGAAGTCTCATAAATCATGCACTGAAACGTATTTAATTTTAAAAGAAAAGGGGCATTTCAAAATAAGTCTGATACCCATACATATCAGTCTGAAAAAAAAAAAACTAAAAAAAGAAACCGAATGTATTTTTCATAACTTTCATACGATTAAAAATGTATGTAGGTATTGTTGCTTTTTTCAAAACCAGCATTTTTCAAATAGTAAGAAAAAAGTCAAACGAGAGACATTAAAGACATACCATCATCGTTACATTTACAAACAGGGCATTTATCCGGCCCCATCTGGTAGCCGCTGTCGCAGGTCAAGTCTCCGCAGTTCAGAGCCTTGCACCCGCCCACGTCGTGCTCTACGTCGTCGTCGTCGCCTAGCGTAGCCGGATTGACGTTGATAGTAGCCCCTCCATCAACGTCTGGCCACTCTAAAAAATAAAAAAAAAGTAATAATAATAACAAAAACTCTTATGATAGTATAAGCAGACTATCGATTAGTTGTTTACATCTTGAACCATCATACGTGGCCTATGATGTGTGCTTGTTTATTTATACGTGCAGAAAATTAGATTTGATAGTCAAAGGCAAAAGTTTGATAGGATTAGAAAACCCTTACAACATTTTACCTTCAGTTATAGATCAAAATCGTATTAATTTTTTTGACACTGAATTAACTTTCATTATCGCTACGACTAGCATGAGGAGAGTATGAGAACAGGCATCGTGAGATAGGGCCTAATGCTAATATTCCCTGTACCTTTGCATTCACATGTTTCACATCCATTCTCGTCGAGGACATACCCCAGTGAACAGCTGATGGTTTCACAGACAGGAGGGCACTGGATATCTGCAAACGGGGCAGCTGTAAGGATAAAAGAAAGAGGTTATTTCCATAAATTAATAAATGTTTTTAACAAAAAAAAAAAAAAAAAAAAAAAAAAAAAAACATTCTAAGACGCGTGTACATATCTCTTGATTACTGACGATATTATTTTACAAATTAAAGTGCCTTAAGTTGTAAATAAAAAAGGACGATGAAATATTTCATCAAAAAGGTTCTTTAAGTTTTCGTTTGAAATTATTCTAGGGCAAAATTTTGTATATGCAAAAATAAACAGACTAACGAAATTCCAAAGATTCGATTTACTATAAAACCTAAGTTATTTTTTAGACTTTCAGCTTAACAACACCTTAAATATGAGGTTTAAAATCGCAGCCTCTTAAACTATAATGGACCTACCTCGGGCAAAGGCAGCAGTTGCTAAAAGAAACGCCAAATTCAAGCAGATCATCTTTTTTTTTCTTGAAATAAACACCTAGCAAATAAAATGAGCGTCGTCTGATATAAACGTGCGGCTATGAAAGACGGTCGCAGTTCTGGCGAAACCTGGAGCTGAGATGTCTATATACCACGAGTCAATTATCCTTTCTGCGTCTTAGAAATTTCAATCGGTAAATATTCTTTTGAAGCAATACGATACCGCTCCGGGAGTGTGCACAGTTCCTTGGAAAACACACCTGGGACATTCATTTAAATAGACGATAAGGCCACGAGCTCTTTATTGTTGTCACTCCCGCGGACTCGGGTAGCGAAGCAATCTAATTTATTATCTAAAGCCACGTCAAGTTTCACCAACTTCTTCGTGTGCCTGCGTGTTTTCAATGTTAATTATTTGAGGGCTTCTTCTTACTTTATTAGCCGAGGAGAGTTTTTGCCTTTGATAAGTTTATGAGTTTTAAAAGCATACAATGTACAAACCAGTACTTCCACACGTGTAGGCCTATGTCGGACATAAATCTCAAGGATTGCTAGTTAGCTTGCAATATTGTGTACAGTACTGTCTTTCAAGGTTTTCATATACTGTACAACAATTATTTTTTTAGTTTTAAGAAAACCTGTGTTGAGTTCAGTTTAGTTTTAAGACAGCGTGTTGTAAATTATTTTAATTTTTCTAATCATGGACAAAATAACGGCTAATTATGGTTACTTGTCCATGGTCTAATATTACGTTTTGATTTGTAAAAATCCGCGTTTTAAGTAAAGCGCTTAGGATGTAGCCTACATAGAACAGAATGCACGATTTATAAACAATTGTCTTCATTAACATACTACCACTTTATGTTTATCGTACCGCTGTGCTAAAACGTTTTATTTCGGCAATAAGCTAATACTCTCTCTCTCTCTCCATATATTGTCTGTGCGTACTTTGTACATTGTTTTGTGCTGTGGTTTGAAACTTTTCCAAAGAACATTGTTTACTGGTGTAGTTTTACAAGCGCTATATAATTATCTCCTTATACACAGAATCACATCACACAAACGATTAAATCATTAAAGATTGGATGACATTCGTTACAGACAAAGTTAGAATGATTTGATAAGTCTTCTTTTGTTTAAAGTTTATTGAGCAAAAATACACCTCAAATTCCTGTATTCCGAATATCATCAGAATGGTTAGATTGAAGGATTTATTTTCCAATATCGGGATCAGCTGAAATAGAATAGAAATAATATACAGACAACACGGTCTATAAAACTGGTGATAAGACGTAAAGATTTTTAATGGAATTTAAATAGTAGATGGTTTCAATTGCTTTACGGCAAAGGTTCCGAGATTCGGTCATAATTGGTGTAGATTTTTCTATGGAAGTAGATTTATAGATGAGGTAACAAAGTTTAAACTCGTTGTTTATGACTATAATATGGTTAATTATAATCCACACTTGGCTTAAGATCAAACGCGTATCAGCTTCTTCATTCTCAAATCCCCGTCAGTGCAAGTTAATCGGGTAAACGTGGAAATGTGAAAATAAAAAGTTGCCCCTCATCGACTCTGAAACTGGCTAGGCAAACGACTACCCACCACAGGCACAGGTAGGACAGCCCTGCTCGTCCTTCAATAATCCGTTCGTGCACTTAATCAGGCACAACACAGCTGGGCATTTTGGTGCAGGGTTACCTTTATTAAATAAAAGAAAAGATTGATTTTATATATTTTGTATTAAGATTGCGTCTCATGTACGGGTTAAGTTGCAATGTTGTCGGTAGACTTGATTACCAAACCCAGAACCAAATAAAATGAAAGTATAAAAATTACAGGGAGAATTAACGAATTATACATGTACTCGAACATCAGATATTACAATAAGGACTAGCATTTTACTTGATTTTTAATGAAATATTCTTAAATTAACACCACGATTTTCCTGCAGACATCGAAGGGCATCCCAAAGCTTAATTTATGCTGGTAATTTGCCTTTTCCACAAAATACAGTGCATGATACAAAATACAAGTGTTTACGTTTTTTTAAAATGGAGTGTTTTTTAACTTACACTGGCACAGAGAGCAACCGTTGTCGTCCTTTACGTACCCATAACGACAGAACATTTTACACATTGGACCACATGCGTTTACTTCAGGTTTAGGAATGGAATTGCCTGGAATTTTTTGAAAAATACCGTTAAAATCAAATAATATCATTACCAAAAAGCCTTTTATTAAACGTGTTTCTTCTTATCATGTCAAAATCTTCCACTCTTTGCGCTTTGCGGATGGGTATAGGCCTACTTTTTTTTAATCATTTTTACGTTTATACTTTATGCGTTTGATTTCATAAATGCAAATTTATGATTTCCTGTAATTAACATAAATGTACACACACTGGACAATAGAAGTGTCACCCCTACTGAACCAATACTATGGGGGAGATAAATGACTGTGGAATGATATGCTCCTGGTATCATTTTATTAACATCAAATTTCACAAAAAATCACAAAATGAGAACAAAATATACATTCTACCAAAATATGTAGTTTCAAGTCCAAAATTAGTACTTAATGGCATAGCCACGTGACCTAATAATAGGTGCCAGTCTACGAGGCAAGGATTCATATAATTGTCTGATGCGTTCAGGGCTTATGCTGGCCCAAGCATGAAACACTGAATATAACAGAGTTTCTCTGCTGGATAGACGGGCATATGTCAAAAGTTTTGACTTATCATTCCACACATTTTCTATTATGTTTGCATCCAGACTCTGGGCAGGCCACATCACCCTGCGAATGTCCTGTTGGTCAAACCAATCATCAACTGCTCTGGGCCTGTGACAAGGAGCATTGTCATCCTGGTGAACAAATGGATAATTCCTGTCACCAAACATGTTAGTAATAGATGGTAGCAAAGCCTGACTCCAAAACACCGATATATTTCTAGTGATTCATGTTTCCATCAACCACTATCAATTCGCCCACTCCATGGATGCTGATGCAGCCCCACACCATGATGAATATGCTGCTCCGGGTTCGAAAATTCAGTGCATGTGGT